GAGAGCGAGACTAAAAGAATAAATCATGGAGCCTGGAAGCAGGAAGTGAAGCTTTATAAGACACAAGGTATTGGGCTGCGTTTGGGCAGCAGGTGGGTACCTCTTAAGGTCTAACACCAAATGTAATTCAGGTTATGACCACTGATTGTAACTAAAACAATTGTGAAATGTGAGACAGGTGTGATTTGGAGCTACATGAGATTATTTTAGGTGGAATGCCCACATGGCACTAAATAACATTGAATCACAGAATGAGAAAGTGACTCCCTTTTCCACTGTTTTCCAATTCTTCTGATACCACCAAGGACACCGTGTTGGATTAGTACGCCTTTAATATTTCTTGACACTTATTACTCTTTCTTTTTAATAAAGAGAAGGCAGCTACAGGCACAGAGCATTCACAGACCATAGTCTCGAACTAGAATATAGGTACGTTTATGTTTTCACTGTACAGTATTTAGTTTTCTGGTTACTTCCTATTTATAGCAAGTCATGCTAATTTTCTAGTTATAGTTGTGATATAACTTTCTGAATATATTTCTTTCAGTTAAAGAAGTGAGTGAACTTAAAGATACTAAGCAAATAATAGCACAGGTGGAACACAGATAGGGCAAAAATCCTGAAGATGGTGAGTGATTGTATTCATCTTAGAAAATGCTGGAATAGTCCATCACTTAGAGCCACAGATGCAGAATACAAATGACTAAACACCGAAGCAAAAATCAGAACCCGAAAACAACAGCCGCGACATCTCCTTCGGAAACATTTCTGAAGGCACACAAGTGTGTGATGGACAAACCATTACTCCACTGAAGCTCTAGGCCCCAGATGGCAGGGCAGGGAGATGAGGGGGTGCAGGTGCTGATTATAGATGGTCGCCATCATGAAACTAAAAGCTGGTAGGCCGAAAAGACAAGGCGACTTAAGGCAGCGCTTTGTTGAGGAAGAAGTCACACAAATCCAGAATGGCCATCAAATCCTATTTACCTCCCCATTCAGAGAAGGGATGGTCCAATTGTGCATAGAGGTGGCAAATGGCAACGCTCTGAATCAGAGTGGTGGGTCAATCTTGGTTTTGAGGTAATATGATCTATAATTATATACCAAAATTTAAATTTTTAGTTTTATTCTGCTTGCTTCATTTAAGTTCCCTTAAACCAGCAAATCTCAATTGAGAGGAGCAATTTTTTTTTCAAACTACCTGTATATCAAAGATGGTAGAATGTTCCATGGGGTAAGAGTCGGGTGGGGGTTAGGGATGCCAGCTCTCCCACACCTACCACCTAGTTAGAGCCTAGTTATAATGAGAGTGTGTCATGGCTCTCTGAAGCGGGTCTGTGGAGAAAAAGATTCAGAACCACTGTTCCAGTAAGAGCCACAACAGGGTAACTCTCTCCCACCCATCCACTGGCCCACGTGGCAGCAGTAAGCGTAGTGCCGAAAGAGGCCATCTGCTTAGCTTTCAGCATCAGAATATATGGATAGAAAAGATAAGGCTTAGGAAAATTGCTCTCAGAACCATAATAATTTATAAAAGAGCTAGGCAGTGGTAATACAGCATCTAGATTCAGAACAACAGTTACCACCCAGACCAACTTTTTAAAGACAAAGGTGTGGTTTGTTTCAGGGGATGCTGCCTATAACTTAGATATAGGCTTTCTTTTCCTCCTTCCCTCCCAGCCTCTCTGTCTTCCTCCTCCTTTTTGCCCTTCTTTCCTTTCCCTCTGACCTCCTATTCCTGAGTTCTTGCATGTTTCTCAGGCCAGGAGCTCCCCAGGTCGTTTGTGGCTTATTGGACATCATTAGTTTTCGAACTTTATTCTCCAGAGCCTCATGACAAGTCTGGGGGAAAGCTGTCAGGTGAGACCCACTTTCATCTGAGAGCCGTGGTTTGAGGGGGCAGCTCTGTGGTATTTCAAATCCTGGCACCACCACTTACTTACAAGCTGTGTGACATTAGGCAAATTGCTCATTTTTGTAGTGCCTCAGTTTCCTCATTAATAAAATGAAAATAATAAAACCATCTACTCAACTGGGTTTTGTGAAGATTCAATGTGTTGAGCTCATGTAAAGTGCTGAGAACAGCACAATATAATTGTCAGCTTAATGTTTTTTGACTTCTCTCATAAAGTTCCTTTTAACAAAAGCGTTCTACTGCCCCCCAAAGTTTTGAACACCACTTTGCTACCACTGTAGATGGTGTAGTCATTGTTTAAATTAGCATACCATTCTACCCATACTTTTCAATTTCCTCTTCCCTATCTCAGAATAACTTCATTCTTCAGAATTGTCCCCCCTCCCATTGTTTTCAAGGTCAGAGCCTCCTTGCTATTGTCTTTATCTAGTTCTTAGCCTTTGTGACTCACTGGGTTCCCTCAGACTATTCTCATTAGCATCACAAACATTAGAAAGCACGGAACACAATCCTGTTTCACCCAGAAGGGAACTTGTTTCCTCCTGAATAGATGATCTCACCTAATTTCACGGTTAGTGAGAGGGGAATGAAGAGAACACAGGTTCCCTGACTCCTACTGCATTGCTTTCTCTGACATTACCTTTTCTCCTCACCATTTGGTGGAATTATACACGGGATCACTCCAATTTCCCTTCCTCTGTTAGAGCCATGTCTCTTCAATGACTTCAAATTCTGCCACCTTTAAAGAAGTCTCCAAAGAAGTGATGTCTCTGGCCTTCTTTCTCCCCACCACACAACCGACAATCTGAGACTAGCATATTCATGTGTTCATTCATCACTTAAGCTTTTTTTTTGAACACCAAAGTAGTTCCAGGGTCTCTGTGTTAGGGGAGCTCATGGCCTAGTTGGATAGGCACACTTAGAGATGTTACAGAAAAGCACGCGGTAGGTAAGGGTGTAAGGGCTAGGGTAAGGTTCATGCACAGAATGATGGGGGAGGGGAGCTCACCCAGCCTAGGGGCTGTGAATCAGGGGAGGCTTCCTGAAGGTCTGACCCCTCGTCTGGATCCTGGAATAGGCGTGAGCCAGACGAAGAAGGGAAAATTTGCTTTAGGCAGAGGGCGTGAAATGTGGGAGGGAAGGCAAAGGCAGGTTGTGAGAGAAAAGAACTTGGGGGAAAATGCCAGAATTTCTGTTCAGTAGGAATGGAAAGTCAGACTAGGGGGCCTGAGGCTGGAGAGAAATACTAGGCTTGGTCTTTGAGGACCTTGTAGGTTGTAGAAAACAGTTTTATCCTGGAGTCCACGAGGAGTCAATGTAGGGGTTTAATTAAGAGTAAAGAACATATTTGATTCTGTGGTGGCAGCATGGAGAATAAAGCAGTATTTGGAGGTTATTGCACAAATTAATCCAAGTCAGATAAAAAGCCGAGGTATCTCAGAGCACAGAAATACATACCTGTACTGAAACGTTTATCACCTCCTGTTGAATGTCCCTATGAGCTAAATTCTTGAGAAAAATCTCCAAGTACAACGTCGTCATTGCTTTTCATCTCTCTACATCCTCTATAATAACCTGTACTTTCCTACCTTAGCGGGGTTTAACCAACCTAGCTTATTTTTCTGTTTTTTTCTTTCTGTTCTGTGTTTAACCACTCAAGAAAGCCTTTTCTCGTAAGTCTTTGCAATTATCCTTCCATTCATCATTGATTTAAATGTCTGTTAAGGAACCGGCATACATAAAACTTATGTAACATCAAGTTTCAAATTTGGTAACGTTTAACATGCAGATAAAAATGTATTTTATGAAATTTCATCTCTTTATACTTCTACCATGCCTATCCTAAAGGAGATTTCTGGATGTACTATGTCCGTGGGCAGTTCACATTTGAGAAAGTAATTCAGATATTTCATACAAAGTTACCTTCATAGAAAGTATGAAGGGTAGATTTTAAAAAGAGCCCCCGATTAAATTTTTGTCAACTATTTGATGAATCAGCAGCCCAGCTAAGATAATTTCCCATCTAAAAAGGCTAGAAGGAGAGGTACATTTTTCTTTGCAATTTTGTATTTCCCAAAATCAGACAAGCAATTCAGTTCCTGAGTTGCTGAGGTGAAGCTAAGATTCAACCAAGGTGAGGAGCAGGCAAAGTGCAGAATAGCTCTTCAGAAAGAACAACTCTCATTTTCATGTTGCACCAAAGTTTTGTTACCTTTTCCTGTGTTATTAATAACTATGGTGTCAGCAATCCCAACTTTAGGTGACTTTTTGTGCATTGCAGGTACACACACTCACACACGCACACACACACACACACACTCACACACTCTCACACACACACACACACACACACACACACACACACACACACACACACATACACAGAGGCCTACTCTCAAGCTCTTTCTGTGCACTCTGTCCACCTTTCCAACTGCACTTGGCTTCTAAGCCCTACCCTCTCCTCTCCCAGGTACTCACACAGTCTGCGTACTGGGCGGTAGGCTGGGGATGCGGTGGACATCCTTGCAGGTGACTCTGAAGTTGTCCTGGTGACACTCACAGGGCGGAGGACACCCTTTCGCCCCCAGGCTCCTGGGCAGGGCGAGAAGCAGCGCCAGCTGCATCAGAAGCATCGGCCTCATTTTCCACGGGTCCCCCGGGCAATTTCTTCAATCTCCACTATCGTGTCATTCTCAAACCCTCTGCACCTCGGGTTCTCCAGGGTGACGGAGAGAGGGGAGGCGTGGAAGAAGGGAGGACTCCTTGGGGTTGTGACTTCAGCACCAAGGAGGAGGCTCGAGAGGCGAAAGGAGAGGCTCTTAAGTGTTCCGTTTCCCTAGGCAACTCTCCACCCAAACAAGCCTATTGGCTTTACTTTCCTTGCCTAGAGCCATGCAGATTGCTCCTTCTGTTCCCTGACACCTAACACCGGTCCGGGTTATGCTCTCTGCTTTCCAACCAGCCGCAGGCTTTCTTCCCATTACTTCTCTCCAAATCCTAATATAGGCGCCCCCTCCTTTCCTTGTCTCTAAACCCAATGGGCCACCTTTTCCCGTGGGTAGCCTCCTAAAAACACTGCCTGCCGGGATCCCCCCGCACGCACTCTCTATCCAGAGAAAGTCCCCGCAGGATGGACTGTCCAGGGCGGACTGGGATCCTGCAGAACTCCGCTCCTCCTGGCCTAACACGCCTCTGCTGACGCCAGCCCGAAGTGCAGCCGAAGCCGGGGCGCGACACCTTTGCCGCATCCTCCCTGGCTCCCCAACTTCAGGGTAAACCTGGTCCACTCTGCGCGAGCCGGCCCCACACTCGTGCAGAAATCGCTGCGAGGAGTCGCCTGGCGGCGGCGGGCTCACATTACAACTGCGGGACCGGTGAGGCGGGTCTGGAACTGGGCTCTGGGGCCATCTGCTGGGGAGAACCGGGAACGGCAGAAACAGTTCCGGCGCCTTTGAGGGAACTCTGTATCCAGCTTTGCCCAATGCATTTGAAGCCGGCAGGTGAAATTCTGGTCTGCCCAGGAATTTTATTGAGCCACATACCTCCGCTTCACCCCAGAAGATGGAGAGAAAGAGAATATTTAAGTGGCACACTATCATCTACTCATCATTCTGCACACAGTAGCCAAAAAATATATAATAATTTAAAATATAAACCAGATTGTATCATTTCCCTCTTAAAAACCTTCAATTGCTTACTAATTCTTCTTGGAGTAAAGGAAATATCAACGCCTCACATACTGTATGATTCCATTTATATGAATTTATATGAATTTCTGGGACACGGGGGAAAAGCGATGGTGATGGAAATCAGAATGATGTTTAGTGAAAATTGACTAGAAAAAGACAGGAGAGAACACACAGGGGTTATGGAAACGTTCTATGTCTTACTTGGACTGGAGACAAGCGGATGTACACTTTCATCTAGATTCATTGAACTCTACACTTAAAATATGTATATTGCAATGTTCATAGTGGCTTTATTAGCAATCACCAAATACTGGAAACAATCCAAATGTCCCTCTACTAGGCAATGGATAAATAGTGATACATCCATACACAGTGGAATACTATGCTGCAATAAAAAAAAGAAATAAAAAAATTTAAAAATTACATGTAAATTCTGAAAGGCAAAGTTTGCCAATCCCTGTCCATCAAGATCCCACCGTTACTCATCTATGCAACCTCATTTCATAATATGCTTCCCTGTTCTCTACATTCAGCCACTTTGCTGGACCCAGAACAAGCCAAGTTTGTTACCACCTCTGGGTTATTCGCTATTGCTGAACTCCATGCCTGGAACAGTCTGTCCCCAGATCTTCACATCATTCAAGTCTTAGGTTAAATGTCACTTCCTCAGAAAGATTTTCTCTGAAAAGTAGTGATCCCCCATCATAGTACCTTGTTTCACCATCTCCAACGCACTTATCGTTAGTTATTATGATTGATTAATTTACTCCTTCATTGCCTGTCTCTTGGTGTTCTCCCATTACTATCAAAACGTACATGCCGTGAAAGCAAGAACCCTGCTGTTTTTTTTGCCATTGTATCCCACACACCAAGAATAACGCCAAGCTCAGAGTTAGTAAAGAATAAATGTTAGGGGCCGGCCGAGTGGCGCGAAGGTTAAGAACTCGCTTGGGACGCCAGAGGGCCCCGGTTTGGATCCCACATATGAGGGCCAGTGACACTGCCCTCCACAGCTAAGATGCTGAACAGCTCAACCTGGAGCTGGGCTGCCGTGAGTCACCAGCGACGGCGTAGGGTGCAGCTCCTGTGGCAATGGATTGCCATGGGCTACCGTGTGTAGCCATCAGCCAGCGTGAGCGGCCAACAGCCACAGTGAGCGGCCGTCCAGAAGCCGGCAACTGATCTGCCTTGCCAGAGAAGAGCACAATGATGGTGCCAACTTGGGCCAGTGAAGCAACATCCTCCACAACTAGACTGAAGAACAAAACGACAGCAACTTGTCTGTTCCCCTTCCCCCAATTCCCCAGCACTGTTCCCATCCCCCCAATTCCCCAATTAAAAAAAAAATCTTAAAAAAAAAAGAATAAATGTTAAATGAATGTGTTACCAAACCAAAGTCTGTATGCGCGACGCTTTGAAAGGTCAAAACTCAAAATGCTAGGGTTTGGGGTAAGGAAAGGTTTATTGATTGAGAAGGCACCAACCAAGAAGATGTGAGACCTAGTGGTGCCTCAAATCCATCTTGCACTCTGGACCAGGCCAAGGTTTTTTAAGGGGCTGGGATGAGGAGTGGAGAGGGACAGGTATGAAGAAGTGCTGGTTTAATTGCAAGACCTTGGAACTTGGCCATTTATGGTAAAGGGGCATCAACAAAGTTCCTTTCTGGACAATAGACCCTTGGCGTCTGAAAGGGTTCCGGTGTTGAAGTTCTGGCTATGTCCTGGTCCTTTGGTTCCATATATGTGTGGTGCGGGTCGGTGGACGGGGTGGCGGGGCGGGTGAGACTCTGGTTCTGGGTGCAGCCGGAGGCCAAAATTCTCTCCTCTGCGCATGCTTTGGCTGCAAGATTTGTGGCTTTGGTCTGTTGTCTCTGAAAACAACTCAGGATCTCGTCAAACAGAATACGACCATTTTGATCTGGTTCTGTGGTTACGACAGAACAAGTTTGCAATGCCTGTATTAGTTATTTGTTGCAGCATAATCAGTAACCTCTAAATTTAGAGGCTTAAAACAACATTTATTACTGTATCTTGGAGTTTCTGTGGGGCAATTCTGGCATGGCTTAACTGGATGCTTCTGGCTTGAGGTTTATTGTGAGGCTGTAAACAGAATGACAGCTAGAGCTGCAGTTACCTGATAGCTTGGCTGTAATCTCACTAAATTCACTTATTCGGTCCAGTAGCTGTTTTGTAGATTCCATAAGGTTAATTACATAGATAAATTGTGTTGTCTGAGAATAGCCAGTTTTACTCTTCCCTTTCCAATCTGGGCGCTTTTCATTTTGTTTTCTTATCTGATTGCACAGGTTATAACCTCCAGACAATTTTGAGTAGAAAGAGTAAAGGCAGACATCTTCATCTCGCTCCTAATCATAGGGGGAAATCATTTTTTCATTATTAAATATGATGTTACCTATCCAGTTGCCACAGATGCTTTTTATCAGGTTGAGGAGGTTTCTGTCTATTTCTAATTTGCTTGGAGATTTGAATCAGGATTGGGCGTTAGGTTTTGTTACACGATTTTTCTGCATCGATTGAGATGAGTCAGAATTTTTCTCTTTTAGTTTGTTAATGTGGTGAATTACAGTGATTGATTTTTGAACATTAAACCCATTTCGCCTTCCACAGATAAACCCCACTTGATCATGATGATGTATTAAGTTTTTATGTATTCTTGGATTAGATTTGCTAAAATTTTGTTTAGTAGTTTTACATAGATGTCCACAAGGGATAATGGTCTGTTATTTTCTTTTCTGTAGTTTTTGTATCAGAATAATTCTGCCACCATAGAATGAGTTAGGTAATATTCCCTCCATAAATTTCTACAGGAATTTATGTAAGAATCGATATTTTTTTCTTAGTTGGTTCAATTCACCAGTGAAGCTTTATTGACCTTGAGGTTTGCTTGTTGAAAGGTTTTTAACTACAAATTCAATTTCAAAAAAACAGATGCAGGGGTGTTTATTGTAACCTCTTTGTGTTTTTATATTTAAAGTACATTTCTTACATAGTATTGGGTTATGCTCTCTTTCTTTCTTCCTTTCTTCCTTTTTTTAGGACACAAAGTTTTCTTTAAATATTTCTTTGGGGGAGGTGACACCAGACTTCTACTCAATTAACAGGGATATTTTTAACATTACAGAGGTCTTTTATTTTTTTACACCTTTGCTATGATTCCATAGGGAATGAGTTCTAGCAGCTCATGCCCCTTTCCGTTGGCTCTCACAGGGTGTGCTTCTCTGGGTAGAGCAGGCTGGCGCTTCAGTTAAACCCAGGTACCTTTCTCTTTGGCTTCCTTCTTTTTCTGATCATTTTCCTTCACCCGTTTCAGGAAGCTATCATGGCGCTTAGAGTGCTTAATAAGCTCAGTACGAACCTGAATTCTCTCGGCAAGAATCTTGCTCTTGTTTGTTCACAGTGACGCCAACCGCAAGCTGGGTAGCACTGTAAACCCTTCCAGTTTTGCTGTGGGAACATGTGTGGGGCATTCCTTTTTGAACAGTGCCCACTCCCTTGATGTCTGCGATTATCACCTTCCTTGTAGATTCGCATGTATGTGGCCAAAGGAACAACTCCATGTTTCCTAAAGGCCTAGATGTAGCTGATGCCTCTCCCCTTTCCTTCATTTTGGCGAATTACTGGAAGATGGCAGTTCTAGCTGAAAGGAGGTTATCCTTTCGATCTGACAATCTTTGCCTTTTATTTGGGTTGCATAGGTCATGTACATTTGATATCATTATTGATATTAGTTTAAGTTTATAATCTTGCTACTATTATAGTTTTCTACTTGTCCCACCTCTTTTTTGATACCCCTTTTCCTTTTTTTTAAACCTCCTTGGGTTAATTCAGAAATTTTTATGATTCTATTTTATTTTCTTTATTGACCCTTAGCTATAACTGTTTGGTGATTATAGTGGTTGCTTCAGGGATTATAGTGTACATCTTTAAGTTATC